GTGTGTGTGTGTGTGTGTGTGTGTGTGTGTGTGTGTGTGTGTGTGTACAGTGTAGTCTACACAGTCTGTTGTTGATAGTTTATCATATTTAGTTATACCTTATACTGTTTTAGTAGATTTCATGTCCGCACATTTTAGCTTAACTTAATCAGGGGTGTTTATAAAATAATATATATAAATATATGAAAGTAAAACGGTTGACATTTAAGAGTTTTTAGTCACAAATTATTTTGAACTTTAACATCTCCCAAGCTTTGTTGTTGTCAATGTTAACATTAACTTAAGTAAATGTGTTATATCAGTTCCTCCTGACTGTTCTAGAGTGTAGTCCAGATAGGGGGCCCAGCATAGGAAACTGTCCCTTCTATTTTGTCAAAAAAAAGTTTTTTTAAGTAATTGAGTTATCATTTTTTTAAGCAGTGTCTTGAACATTTTGCCTTCAGTGACTGTTGTCGTGAGGTAAGTGTAAAATCCAAACACACCATCTCTTCTTTTTTAGGCTCATCAGCACCTGCCTGCTCCTCCACAGGTGCCCAACCAGTAAGGAGGAGCCGCGAGAACAGTGACAAGAACTCGCTCCTTCAGAGGCTTGCTGATTGTGAACATTGCCAATTATGCTGAATGGGGCAGCTGGCCAAGCAGGAAGCACCCCGGTCTCTGCCAGAAAGATCCCTGTAGAGTCCTTCAGATAATATGGGACTGTTTCTTATTCGAGGACAGTTACATCCAGGATCACAGCTTCCCTGCACATTAGTTTTATTTGTTTGTATTTCATGTTATTCTTCCCAACACAACATTAACATCATACAAGCATTACACAGGGAGGATTTCAAAGGGAATCAAAAGGGACATTATAGTTTATACTGTATGCCAGGTATCACAACTACTCAAAATGCATTCAACCTGATCCCTTCCTATTTAAATATCATGCTGCTAAAAATGGTAAATCAAAGATACCCAGCTGCTGCGCACCCGTTCCTAACAAAAGCGCAGCCCCTTGTGTTTACTACATTTCTCTGCAGGGGTTTGTTGCTGTTTTTTTCTTCTCAGTTAAAATGACTTTGGCAGCTAACAGATTTTGAATGTAATGTTTATGTGCAACTTGTGAACTCAGCAGTCAGCAGGTATATATACCTGTCAATGGCAAGAGCTCTACTGCAAGGGGAAAGCTTTCATTGCTCACACCAGCTCCTCAATAACCCAATTGTAAGAAAAAGATAAACAACTGCTGTTTCACTTCAAACAGTAATGTCACTTGGCATATTATACTCGGTGCAACTGGAGTGCTTGCTCAACCGCTTTTTGTGCTCAACACGAATTGTGCTTGACTCATGAATATTTCATATTCTTATCCTACAATACATATACATTTTTTCTTTGAGTCTGGATTTATTAAAATCTCTGAACCGCTTGTTTCATCTTAATGAATGCCAACTGTCCATGAGCAGCTGAACATTCATGAGATTAGCATAATCAATGGCCCTAAGTAGCTGTATAAGACTACCTGTTCTGCTCCATTTGTGGGCTATAATCATTCACTAAAATGTCACTACATTTAAATGAAGTCTTTCAAGTCACTCCATGAAATTGTAACAGACATATCAGTGTCAGTAATTCTATTAGAGGACTTTCAACAATTAGAACAGTAATACAGCTGCCAACACGGTGTCATCAGTGGCGTACTGTCACTGAAGTAATGAAGAAATTATTTGACAAAGTCTGTTCAGCGTACAGGAGTGTAGGGGATAGATGAGAGAAGATTATACAGATGGTAATGTGAAAGGGTTATCCCCTGGACACTGACCTGCGTAAAGACCCTGCTGTCAGATTAAGATTATATTCATATAAACTACTCAACTGAATGATTCATATGCCAACAAATTAAACAAAATGTTTTTATTTTCTTAATTTAAATCAATCTTTTGATCAAATGTACACTGATCAAGTTTAGAGGCATTATATTTCTCATATCGCGCAAGCCTTTACTTCATTGTCATTTATTTAGAGTTGTGTCAATTTTCCCTCTGGTTTTGGTGCCTGCTCCTGAGGGAAAGATCTGTCTTTCGTTGCTATATGGTCCACTATGTTCCCTGGATAGTCTCTAAATGTGGCTTTCTGTTGTGAGCTGCTGAGCAGGTAGTGTACAGTGAATTGTTACAGTCTGAAAACAACTGCCTGCCACAACTGAATACAAAACCAGAGAGTTTCAAATGTACGCATCTTACAAAACTCTGTAAAGCCTGCAGAGTTAGGTGATTATTCTCTCTAGGCTCTTTTCTTCCTATGAAGTAAACAAAGAAGTCTAATCGAGGCGTTTCGGGGCAGAGTGTGTGGGAGAGGAACTCCCTCTGGGGGGAACTTTGGGATTTTAGCTTTTGCAGACCATTTACATGCACAACAAATTATATAAAACACACTACAGGAAAGGGAAAACCCCAAAAGCATAATAGGGCCCTTTTTAATGCTTTCTAATTGCATGATGCCCAAATTATAATCGTCAATGGTTGTACATACCCCTGCTCCTCCATCATCTCCTGGAGCTCCATACATTTGAGCTCCACCCTCCTTTTCCTCTCATGGTCCAGAATCTCTCTGTGTGGCTTTTTCACTAGTACGGGCTCAGCTTTGGGCTCCTCCTCCTCCTCCTCTTCCTCCTCTGTACCTGGCTGACCCTCCTCACTTTTAGCCTGTAGGTCTGCGGTGGGCGTCGGCCCTCCTGCTCCTGCAGCAGCTCCCGCTCCGGGCAGCACCGGCTGGGCCATCCCGTTTGCACCATCCTTAGGAGATGGCACCCTCGCCGCATCGTACATGATCGCTGAACTCTGTGGAGACAAATAATGGAGAGATTTGTCAGAAGAACGCTAGGTAGCTTTATGGATATTGGCCGTTTCATATTATGCTAATGATTTTACATCCATTCATACCAAGAACACTCATTTGGGAGGTTTTTTCCATTTATTACTGAATTATGTTCCCTGTTGTTAATTGTGGTTTTGTGTGAGTCATTCTTATTGACAAGGCATACATTTAGCAATACAAAATGAAAATATTATTCTGCAGGGTGGAAGACTGTTTTGGGCCCCGTTATGGCCCCTGAACCCTGGTTTGTCAGCCACAAAGCTGCCATCTGATGTTTTCCAACACATGCTGACCCAAAACAGCATATTTGAATGAACAGTAAGCCACAAACGCTGAAAGATGAGTGGAGATGTTAATATGTCTGGACAGGCTGCAGAGTTTCTGGCTGAATTGAGCAGTGGTACCCTTTGCAAACACTCACACACGCCAACATGGAGTACACAAATGCACACACACGTACATGTCATGATGCATTGTGGGAGACAGCGCTGGCAGTAACTTCTGCTGCATGAGTCAACAGCAGAGAAGTGCCTGGAGGCAGGTTAGGGGAGAGAGTGAGAGTTACATTCCGCTTTTAAAACTCCTGTCTCCTGGACCAAATTGAAGCTGCAAACCAAGGTCATGTACCAAACATGCATCACGAGAGCCAAGGGAGAATAAGAGTGGAACAAACTAAACGGCTTAAGGACACACACACGCTTTAAGCAACAAAACGGGTGAGGGAAGGATGTGGAGAGCATTGATTTGAGTCTTTAAGGGGACACTCTACAGGAAAACACAGTTATGTTCATGCACTGGTCAATGTTAGGAGTTTGGGCTACAGTATGTATAATTCACCTAATTAGATAATGTGTTATTTACATATTTTAACAATGAATTTAATTTATTGCAACATAAAACAATTGTCCTGGTTTGAGTTATCAACTCGAGACCCTATTCACCTTCTGTGTCTTGCAAATATCTTTGAAGGTCTTTTCTTCAAAATATATTATTTCTTATGCTCCAGAAATCTCAACTTCAGTAGAACTTATTCACCGGCAAACTTTCCTATCTATACTGTATTCTGAATGTTTTAAAGTGGTTTTCATTCATCATTCATTGCCTTATTTAAAGAGCATTTCATTCATAAAAACATAGAAAAAATAAAATGTTCACAGTATTTTCTGTGGATTGATGCAAAGAGTTATTTCAAATTCCTTCAGTAAAATGTATAACTCGAACACTAACCAATGGAGAACCCTTTCATTGTGATAACTATTAATGAACATGTTCACACTACTCTCTTCCCCATGACTTTTTGTAGAAACACTAAATGCAGTCTTAGTTTTTGACTTGCACATCCTTTCTGTTTCTGACTGGTTTACTGATTGAAAGGATGAGGTTGTTATTTAAGAGAATAAAAAACAGTTGTCTGGTACGAGTGCAGCATAGACTGTACTCTGATTAAGATGGATGGTACTGTTAAGGCCGATAGAACACGCAGGAAGAGAGGAGGGCCTTTATGTGCCCAAGAGCCTCGGCTTCCCAGAACCGCCCCCCTCCCTCTGCAGCTAATGGCTTAATTTTTCACTGAGGAGCCAAAAAAGCTCCACCGAGGCACTTCATCACCGTCACACAAGCAGGGGAGGAAACAGGAAGACAGTGAGACGGGATGGACACACCTCCAGAACCACTGTCCTATCCTATCCAAGTGTATTTCATCTGATCATTGGTAGTGTAGAGTACAGCGGCTTGTGCCATGTATTCAGGCGGTTCTGGAAGTCTTTCTGGGGGATAGGGGTTGTGTGTGCTGGTAAACGAGCCGTGGATCTGAGCGTGGCGACAAGACTCTGGGCTGACAGAACAGGTGGCGGAGCAGCAGGAGGCGTCAGCACTGAATCTATTATACAGTAAATCAGCACTTGATATTCCGTGCCAGCAATCTCTCATCTGCAAACGCCAGTCACAGAACAACTCAGTAGAATAATCTCACTCAAAAGCCCTGAACGAACAGTCAGGTAGACATAACCCTCTGTTGGAGATTGGATGTAAGTCACTGAATGTGACGTTGTATTCTAATAATGGATTGTTAGTCGGAAAAAATCTATTCCTGCTTCCTGTCACGCAGTTTTTTGGGGGATGCAAAATGTATATACAGAAAGTTCCACAAGTACTGTACTGTAACCTGATTGGCCGCTGCTGAGGGACTGACAGTTGGCGTGTTATCAAAACTGACCAATAAGGAGCCGGCCTTGTATTTGCCTGAGGCTGTGGTGACCAATGGGAGAAGGGCTCGCTCTGTTTTTATATATATTATATATACACCTTGTTGACTGCTATGGGCCGATCAAAAATAAGTTGACCTTCACCAAATGGGAGCGGATGCTGTTTCTCTTCTGTGTCACATCGGTTTTGCTCACCGTAGTAAGCGTGATACAGGGAGAAAAAGGCACTGCTTTGACACAACTGTGTCAATGTGTGGTTTGTGTGCAAATAAAAGGGAAAGACGATGTCGGACGTGTGTCGGAGGAAGATCAATGTATTCCGTATGAAAGAGACAAAAAAGAAAGATGGCCCTTTTTATGTTTGAAATCACAATGGCAGTACTGAAACATTTTCCTCACTAAGTAGTTTTATAGCACTATATAGCATATGAGGCAGTATTGTTTAGGGAAAAAGGCTATATTAAAGTTTGTTCTTAAATGTGCACTATAAATGAATATAAAAAATATCAGTTTTTATTTATAATGACGATTTTTTGTTTCCCTGGCACAAAAATATGACTAAATAACATAGCAACAGGTAAAACATTGTCGAAGGCATTCGCCATATAAGCAATGTTATAAACCCAGAATTTCTTAATTGGTGCATACACAGTTTATCTCTAAACCAGGTGGCTGTGACTGCCCAGGTTTGGATCTTTGAGCCAGAGAGGAAGACTGTTGCTAATCCGTTTTGTGCTGGACATCATGTCATGGCCGCTGAATCGCTCCAGGTAACAAACTACACACATTTTAAACACACACGCTCGAGCGCACATACGAAGCTGTTTGAATTTCAGCTGTAATTAGCGTAAATAAAGTGAAGAAGTCATCTGAACATTTTGCAGGAATGGACCCTCCCATCCAAAATGAGAATTCTCCACGATGTGGGTGTTTCAAAGCTGGGAAGCCAAGTGCCGGCCTATGCTAAACGATGCTGTAAATATCCAACCATCTCATTAGACTAATGCATCATTGCACAGTCATTCCTTTTGTTCCCGAGAGGGGTGGATGCGAAAAATCTGTTCTCTTTCAAGTTAACACAACTAAATCATTTAATTGTGTAATGAAAGAAAAATGGAAAGGGGAGGCTTGTCAGTGAGCTGATAAGGCAACGGAGCACAGAAACTAATTGTGTGAGTCCTCTGCAGGGACTGAAGGTTATCTGCAGCGACTGTATTAATGGCACCAGTCTATTCTGCTATTATTGCCAGGGCGTAGAACACTGTCACATCCCAACAAACACTGCTTGTAATTAGTCATTATGCTAAGTGAAGTTGTTAAGTGTCACCCTCATTTAATTCAAGTCACAAAGAGATAATGTGCACTTTAACATTCAATATTGTATTTTAGAGTAATGACACCGATTGCTTTGACATCAGAGAGTCATAGCTCCTGCCTTTTCTCTGTCGAAGAGGAAGAAGATGGTTCCCGTCTGTTCTTAAACTTCGCTGTTGTCCGCTGTCGGCTGCTGTGTCGGCACTGCAGCCTGTCTTCTGCTGACAGCAAGCCTTGTACAACAACAACAGGGCGTGAAATAATCCTGGTTAAAATGTTGAAGGCTTGCCGCCATTCAAGTGCAAGCGTCATGATCTCTTAATGATACGGTTGCTGATAGCCCACGCAGGGCTGACTCATCTGATATACAGTAGATGGATCACGCTGTTAAAGATCAATTAATAAGGATAACATCACCGTGGCCACACAGTGAAAACATGTCAGTCTCATTAGGCTAATGACACATTAGAGAGGGGGATTGTCTGGACTTGAGCCACAGTGTGATAATAGTACTTTTTAATTCTTGCTCATCAGAGGATATATATCATTACCAAGAAGTAAATGGCATCATTTGTACTACACTCTGCAGCCGCTGGAAGCTGCTCTAAATTGGAATATTTGATGGATAGATTACCAGCTAACTGCCTACATCATTAGAAGCACATTTTGACAAGGAGTTGACTTCATGAGCAACTAAATTGGGATAATTAATAGCAGAAAGCAGATCGATGATTTCCTGTTTATAATGACATGATCCATCAAGCGTTACAATCTATTGCTGCAATCAATTTTACTGCTAAAAAAACATTTAAACAATTTTTTCTATAAGAATATGTCTATGGCTATGACAGGTGCAATTTAGAACACAAAACAATTCCTTCAATGGGTTAATCCAACAACCTGTTGGTTAGTTCTAATAACATTTTGCACAGATATCCATGGTGCCTAGGAGATTAAACCTAACAATACATTTTCATACAGCTCCGTGTGGTTCATTCACCTTCGTTTTCTACGGGTGCATAAAGAAACCCACAGGGATAATGGCGTTTTTGTTTTACGCTTGGCTGAGGGGGAAAAATAGTTGTATTGTCTTGTAATAAATTAAAACACAATAACGCTATGTAACACACTATAATCTAAGTGTTTTCCATATGTTTTTTCATCACAAGCTTGACAGGTGCTGCTTTAATAATCATCTTGTTGTGGCCTTTCTGTCGGTTGAATGGCACCTTAGAGAATTAGCTCAACTTACTGTACTGTTTATTTAACTCCACTACGACAGTTATTTAGTTGATTTTCTGGAAATAGGGCTACATTTATGTGAAAACGTACCTTGTTGCTCCCCTCAGGGTGATCAAGATTGTGTTTAGTCAAACTCTTTGGTTTATGACCAAATAGCTGCAAAACTATCCTAGCTCTAATTGTTGAATAATGTTAATTA